CGGGTTATCTACAAACAGTTTTCTCATTCCTTCAGCGTAGAATATGGGGCAGCAGGCAAAGGTATCACCATAGTTATGATCCAGTGGACACAACATAAGTCCTTCGAGCTCCTTCCTGCATAGCTCCACTCTTCCCTCATCAATAACTGGGCCCTGGGTTTGTTCATAAGAAAAACAGTTGTTGAACCTACAAGGGTACTCCTACTACTCCCCATCATGATGGGGAAATCAGTCCAGTCTAACTATGCCTAAGACCACAATCAGCGCCACCATTGGGTCACCTGTCAGTGAGCCCACCTCTAATTTACCATCCCCCTGTACCTTTGCAAAATTACCTTTAACCCAGGATCTATGGAACTACAAACGGTCGTTACGTCTCCAATCCGTAAACATTGCCAGCCTGACTGCAGCCTTAATACGATGCCTGGTCTGTTGGATGGTTACCTCTTCCCGCCGAAAGATTTGTGCATTTTGCACTGCCCAAAGTTTTTCCGTCACTACAGCGAGGCAGCAGAGAGCCATGTAACTGTCCCCTGCCTCAAGAGAACCCTTTATCTTTTCGAAGAGTGTGAAATCATCTGCCCATGGGTTCACCAGACAAGTATTTTTCCAGAACTCCTTCCACCATTCCCAAATTTCTGTCGACAATGGACAGTATAGCCATAAGTGAGAGGCAGTCTCCCACCCCCACTTGCACCTGCCACAAGCTGAAGGTACTTTCATACCCCTAGTGTTTAACCATGTCGCAGTGGGAGTAATCTGCAGGGACTGCAACCATTGCAATGCAGCCTGTCTCTGGGAAGGAGTCCTTTTCAGGGCGGCCTTCCATAGCTTCAGAAGGTTTTTTTCTTGCACTGGAGAGATCTGCTGATTTGACAACCTCTACAACACCAACCTTAGCCACCACAACTGGCTTCCTTATTACTTTGTCCTGTAACAGTTACAATCCCACTTTTGTTTTATACTCAGTCTGGTAGACTGGGACCCTTTGTGGCCAGGGCCCAGGAGGACAGGTTCCAACTTCCAACCGTAAAATACCGGTTCCACCACTACCTTTTCCTGGACACCCTTTACTGGGTGGCATTCCAATCCTCTCTGGGACCGTTTCTCATAGACTCTCACCTTCTCTAAATCTAGGGTGGTGGTCCCAGACTCACATATTGAGTCTCTTCTCCCTCCAGTACTAGCTTTCTGTTAGCACTAAGTCTCCGGAGCCCCATCCTCCATTTCTGCACTCTTACCCCGGAGGTCAGCGCAGGACCCAAGATTTTCCAAACCATGTCCCCATTTCCCAGATCTGCCACCCAACTGCCCTCATTAAATTCTCTTTCTTTGTGCGGTGCACTATTGCGGTACAGCTCCTTCTATTATTTCGTAGTTTTGTTCCACCTGTCTGAGCCTGGGGAGCTTTTCCCTTATCTCCCACAGAGAGAGCCACTTTGCAGCCTCCCCATCCCACACAATGTCATCCCTCTATTGAATTATCCCATGTTCTATCCTGGCCCTTCCAAATGAGCCAGGGCTTCCGTACGCCTTCAGGTAGCCATGTCCTGGTTGTCCGTATTCCAATATGAATCGATTTTCAAATAAAATCTAATTTAATATTTTTCCTTTGGACCTTGGTTCTACTATTAATTGAGGTCGCACCCTGTTTCATGTTCGAAGTATACAATACCAGATCCTTGACTTGGGCAATACGATCCAATCATGAAGCATAACCAAACGTGGGAGGCCTTTTTCAAGGACCACTCATCCATTATGATGGACTCTGTCAATTTAAGCCAACATTTGTCTCTAGTATGTCTCCAGTCGTTGCCGCCACCCGCCACTTTATCAATAGAGCAATGTTTTGTTGTAGGGAGTCAAGAATTCACAATCCCCCTTGTTCCCTAGCGCAGCATATAGTGTCACATGCATCCTTCACAATAAAACTCTGTTGTTTTGTAGCCAGCGGCTTCCACAGGTACCTTTTTTTTTTTTTTTTAATACAAAAGCTGCAATTTATTCGTGGGGAGCATCACGTGCTGAGAACCGGGCTCAGCGTCCCTTTGAAGTACAACTGAGAATATGTAACACATTTGAAATTATGGGGCCATTACCCGGCTTCGGCTAGGAAACAATCAGTCAATTACCTATGAGAAACAACTGCAGTTCTAAAAAAACTGCCTATGATCTACCCAACCACAATCCAAACCTGGAAACAGAAGATCCTAACTAAAACCTCCTACTGTTTACACCTCTCTTTCAACAAGCGAAAAAACGTTAAGTCCAAGCGTTTAGTCCTCGTACCAGAACTCAGCTGATCTCATACCCCCTATGCTAGGGTTACAGAGCAACACAAACTTCCCCAGTACCGACCAGCCTGGTTCAGACGGCAAAGAGTGCCTTCCTCCCTCGACACTCTCGATTAGCCACATGCCCCTAAGTTACAGGGAAACCCCCTCGGCATCAGCTACGTCGGACAAACTAGTTATGCCTTCCTCCCTCGACATAACTCCACAGACCTCTTGCTCCCCCAGGTTACAGAGCAAAAGTTCCAGCACCGGTCTGCGTCGTCCCAACTTTGTCCTTCTGACCTACTTACTTAGACAGACGTCCCTTCCCATGTTGGACCCCCTTTGCTTCCTCCCATCTTTCAGTTCTCACCTTCTCCTTCCCCCTTGACATTCTATCCACAATCTCCCTAATCATAGGCAGAAACCCATCAGAAAATTTCTTACCCTCTTGATTTTTTGATGTGCCTCTTCTCCTAGAAAATGAACCATCAAAGTAAACCAAAGGATCGAGAGGGCGGCTGTTGAAATAACCAATGCCCTGCCAAATAAAGAAAGTTGATGGCTTCGGACCCAACCATTAATCCTAGCCACCACTTTATCTGTCAACAGGTTTTCTTGGGTGGTAAAACAATCTGAAAGAGATATTTGTACTCCCAGAAATCTGTCTGACGTGTTAGTGGGAAGTTGGGAACACGTTTAAGGCCCC